TTTAAAATTTTAGGTATTTAATATTCAATCACTCATCAATATTAAAATATCTAATATTTTACACAGTCATTTTTGACATGTATATTATGTCTCATGGATGGAGTCATTAAGTCATTCTATAAATTKATGTGACGTCGAGAGCCTTACAATTACATCATTTTGATCATTTTGTATACATAGCAACCTCATTATAATTTTTAGATTCTAAGCATAACGGTAATAATTCATAGTTTATAATAATTATATTAATGAACTYAGACTTCCTGTGCCGAATGAAATCAGTGATCGCATGACATAAACAAGTATCAATGTATTTACAAGGAGCGTGAAAACTTTCTTTTTTTTCTTTTGGTTCAAGCAGTAAAACATATGAAAAACAATAAAAATTCTTAAATGTATAGACATTGGCCGTGTATACATTTAAATCTGATARTACATATACTTTAGAAGCTGAGATTCTATAGCATAAGACCGTCAGCCATTATATATAACTAAGTATAAATAATGATATTAATATATTATAAAAAAATTGAATATTTCAAATGTCTATAAATACTCAACAAAGTTGCGTTAATATTCACTTTTTCCATATTTTTTTCCCCGTTATTTAAAAATGTACTAAGAATTTTTAATTCTCGTCCTTCAAAAGCATCAACCTGATCTAATTTGATATCAGAAACCACTCTCAAAATGTGAAAATTGAAGCTTTTTTCTTCTACTTTTCGTGTACACCAATTAAATGAGAGGCTTGCTTTTAAAATCTTAATAGTAAGTATTTCGCATTAAAAATAACAAATATTATAAGTATGTGCACTCTTTAGTATTTTGATGAAGATATGAAAATCATGATTAAAATATATATATATATATTTTTATTGAACAACTCAGTGCAGAGCTATCAATGTTTATAATCTTAGAGATTCGGTAGTACACTGGATACTATTTCTTTTTCTTCTTCTTCTTCTTCTTCTTCGCCTTCACCTTCCTCTCAACTATTTTAAAACTTTAAAAACTAATTTTACTGTTGTATATTATAATGTGCATTGTATA